CAGTTCGTATAATGAAACGTCCAGCGGGGACATTCCTGCTGTGACTCTCAGGCGTCTCTCTTGTAAATGAGTCCCCGAGGCTCACTGGGATTAACCTGTATAAAAAAAGGTTGAATGAAAAAAATCCTACTGTGACTTGAGGTATTTGTGCAATTTTTACTTTTTTAAACGTTTTGAAATATTTGTTTTGTCTGCCACGTTTTTAATCATAGAAAATGGATGTCTCTTCACGTCCTTCAAACCCTCTGTGATGTTTAAAACCTTTTACTGCTCATTTCAGCTCTTTGATCTGGTTCAGCAGCTTCTTCCTGCTTTGTCCAGCTACTATTTTGATGCTATTTTTTTAGCCCTTTTTCTGTGTCATTTCAAAAATAGAAGCTCATGTCTGCCTTTTGTGTTTCTTTGAATGCTCCTTTCAGCCTCTTTCTAATAATTTCAGCATTTTTCTGCTCATTTGAGTTTTAGTTTTTTTCCCTGATCTCATATTTTTTGCATCATACTCCACCTCTCTCTGCCTAGTTCATCTTGTTCTGCTAATATGTGCTACATTTCTGTTATTCTGTTTTTTTCTGCACAATTCTGCCATGTTTCTGTTTTTATTGCTTTTATTTTTCTGCTTTCAGCGAATTTCAGCTGATCAAATTCAACTCGCATTAATGGTTTAGCACGCCAGACTTCCTCAGTCTGAGGTGCTGTATTCAGCTCAGTCTTATAAATAGCACCTTCTCGTAGTGGATCAACCATTGCTGCTGACAACCAAAACCAGCTGCTCACATGATCAAGAAGGACCATCAGCATAACGATGGATCATTAGCACACTGATGGCTGTTTACTATTCACAGGAGGCTGAGTGATACTAGCAATCACAGCATTGTAAGAGGGGGACAGTTGAACCTGGAGGCATCCACCCCTGTTTAATGATGGACGGTTTCTTTTCACAAAAATTGCTTCCTTTACTCCGTAGTCCTTCTACTCTGCTCCTGTTTCCTGGAATATCTTACAAAAAGATCTGAAGCTCTCGACCTTGACCTCTCTAAGTGGCTTTAAGAATCTGTTGGACTCCTGGCAGGGACCAATGCAGACATGTTCCTGTTTTTAGTGTTCTACATTTGCCTTAGAATCTAGCTGTTTTTTGTTACTTCTCTTTTTTAGCCATCCTATTTGTAAAAAAAATAAATCTTTATGCTCTTTTGTAATTGTCTATTGTTGTTGCTGTTGTCCATTGTTGTCATCATTCTTTGTTAAAATCAGTTCTCTCTTGTAAATGAGTCCTCGAGGCTCAATGGGATTTACCTGGCTAAATAAAGGTTGAATGAATGAAAAATCATTAAACGGGGTGGAGGCCTCCATGTTCAACTGTCCCCCTCTTACAATGCTGTTATTGCTAGTATCACTCAGCCGTCTGTGAATAGTAAACAGCCATAAGTGTGCTAATTGTTAGGCTGATGGTCCTTCTTGAACATGTGAGCAGCTGGTTTTGGTTGTCAGCAGCAAACTGGTTGATCCACTACGAGAAGGTGCTATTTATAAGACTGAGCTGAACACAGCACCTCAGACTAAAGAACTTTTTCGGATGAAAGAAGAAACGTTTCTACATAAAACAAACAAACAAACAAAAAAAAAAAATATATATATATATATTTGTTTTGTTTTTGGAATGTCCAGAGGACCAGACTTAACTTTTTTAGATCTTTCTACCTGGATTACTGAGCATGCATCAGGATATTACAGTCTTATCATGTAAAGTGATCTTCATAAAATGTTTCAGCTTACTCAGCATCTTTCAAATTTTTATTTGAATGTTCACAGCTTTTCCACAAATAAAGTTTTCTAATTGTTTTCAAAGGACTGTTTGTTCGTTCATCTGCTTAACTCTGACCTCTGAACCATTCAGGTACAAAAAGGCTTCTAGACTAGAGCCATGAGCAGGTGGAACAAGTCAACACACACACACAAGTTTGTCTTTCTATCTTTACAGGGACTTTACATTGACTTCCATTCATTTTTCATTTATTTCTTTAGCCTAACCCCGACCTTTACCTGGCCTTAAACCTAACCATTACAGTACATACCTAACCCTAAACCTAACCCTAACCCATCAACGGCACGACACGTCTTCTTATGGGGCCTGGGCCCCATAAGAAACAGTTGGTCCTCACAATGTAGTATAAGTTGGGAAAATGGGCCTTATAAGGTAAATACAAAGACACACACACACACACAAACCAAAACAAAACAAAACATTTTAGACTGGATTTTTTTTATAGCAGTCACTCTGTGCCAAGCTTACTTTGTTCTCATTTGTATATATTAATTTATGGGTTTATAACCCAGTTTCACAAACATAAAATGGTATTTCAGCAGCAACAGTGCAGCTCCCAAAGGTCTGTCAGCTAAAAACTTAGCATACAAGCAATGCTCAGCTGAAGGATGATGCAACTTTCAAGTCTTTTTTTTATATTTCTTAAAGGCACAAGTAGATAGTATTTCAATTGCACGACTCTTTTTCTTTTGTCCTCCACTTGTTCATTTGTCTCATTTTAGGCACACTGAACAGCATGCTGTCAACATTTCAAGAAAAACTCGATACTTGAAAGACTCTCACAGAGCCAGAAGAACTATTGATCAGTATCACTTTAAAAGGCTGCAAGAAGGCCTGACTGACTGAAAACAAAATGGGAAGATATTTGTTGCGGTTTGAAAGTTTTTGCACAAAAGTCTTCTTTAGTATTTTTAGCATGCTATTGATGGGACAACACAGGAATTAATGAACTCCTCTATAATGCTGTTCATTTCATCTTTATCCTTCTATTCAGGGGACTCCAGAATATACCATACCATTTTATTTATAGAGCACTTAAAACAGCGACAAGGCCAACCAAAGTGCTGTACAGACAGAACAACACACAAAGCAAAATACAAAATGAAGTAAATCAAAATATAGAAATAAAAACGATGCAGATAATAAATATGTGTGGAGCATACAGGTTCAAAACACAGATCCTCTGGTGTTGAAAGCTACTGAATAGTAGTGGGTTTTTAAATGGGATTTGAAAACTGAGAGGGAGGGGGCCAGTCTGACAGAGTTCAGTTTTTCTGCAGATCATCATCAACCTGTCCTCAGTTCAGCCTGGGTAAACAATCCATAAAATGTACAATTAACAGATGTGCAGTAAGATGACTCCAAACTTTTATAAATATCACGCGGCTCATTCAATATAGAAAATAATGTTCAAAAATATTAAGAATATGGGATAATTTTTTTTCCATTGCCATCTTTTTATCTTTTTGTTACATGAAACAAGAAGGACAGCAGATGGACACAGACTTGCACAGCTAATTCCAGCTTTGGGGATTTGAACGGCTGAATAGATTGAATAATAAAATGGCATACACACACAAATAAATATTTAATTCAAGATAAAGCACTCTTTAATACAACTTTTTTGTTTAGCGCTCCAGCAGGTTTGCAGATGAGGTGTTGAACGGTGAAATCACTGATGATGCTCAAACTATAAATTAGACGAATGTAGCACTTCAATCATTAAATTATCACTAAAGTAATTAAATGCTGCTTCTTGTCAATTAACTTGATACAGATGAAGTGAACTGTTAGTTGTACTTATATTCTCACAGACAAAGCTTATTGGAAGCTGAGAAGTAAACTTAAAATGTCACCATTTGACAAACATGAAAATCACTGTTTTCTCTGATGAGCTGAAATGAACAACATACGTCATTCGTATTCCAAGCCTCGTGTAAGCCAGAGCTAAACCACTTTACTCTGCCCTGATTTGATAGTAAAGTCCCGCAGACATGCTCAAGACCAACACCCTCAACCTTATTCATACAAATACAATTAAAATAAACTGTATTTACAGACCAAACCAAATGGTTATAATTAATGTGCTGCTATTGTTAGTTAGGAAAGAAGATATCTTCTTCTATATGAGTTTGTGTGAATTTGTCAGAGGATCCTGTTCTGGCCATGGCTGAGAAAAATGCAGACAAATGAACTCAGAACACAAACAAATGCAATAAAACTATCTATTTTATCTAGATACGTGCCCAAAACTCAAAAGAGAACTTCATCTAAATTAAATATAAACATTTTTGGGGGTATTTGTTTAAGGGTTGGTTGCACATCATTATGTTCAATTCTGGTTGTTTGAAATATTTTAAACATAAAGCAGCTAATTTTACTTCATCATAACTCTTGAGGCTAATAAATAAATAAATAAATAAGGCATTGTGTCTGATTTAACCTGCGGGAGACAGGAGTTAAAAAAAAAAAAAAGGTCAGTATGTTCAGGTTTTTCAACAGCTGGGTAAAAGAATCAAGCTTACAAGAAACACAAACAACAAAACAATTAACACGTCACGCCATTAGACTTCCTCTTTTCACTGCAGTTTCACCTTCTGTCCAGCAGAGGGCGGTGTTGAGGCAAAATACGTGAAAATGGTTTTGATGCCCACTGCGCCCCAAAATAAAAACCTAAAGATCATGTTGTTGTTTAGAAAACGTTTTCATCGTTTCTTTTTTAATGACAAAGAAAGCAAACTTTTGACATCGTGATGATTTTTTTTTTCCATCTTAAATAATAAAATAAAAAATAAAAAAATAGCACGCTGGAGAGAAGAAAAGAAAGTTATCCCAAATTCTGGCGCTTTTTGAGAAGCGATTTTAATTTATGTTATTTAAACTTATTATCTCTTAGCACAAATTTAAGTGTGCATTTTTGTGCAGTTATTTTTAATTCATCTGTCAATATACTTTTCTTTTGTTTTGGAATTTTAAAGTTTTTATTTATTTAGTTATTTAATCAAACATAAAAGCCACCCGCAATCTAGCTGTCCGTTTAACATCCTTTTCAGTCATTTTTTTTATTCCTCCCTTCCCTTCTGGTGGAAAAGGTGATTGGAGCGCCAGTTGTTGGCGTGATGACGTCACGTGCGCTGCGAGGACCTTGTAGCCTCTCCGGGCCCCCTCCTCCAGTCTGGAGATACACAAGTTATCTGGGAGGCAGCCGAAGGGCCGGTGATCATCTTTTCTGCACCCGCCGCGGACCCCTCCATCCCTCCTGTATGGTGGATATTATTTTCAGCTCTTCTTTCTTGGGTGATATGGGGGATCATTCCAAAAGTAAGTCTGGAGATGCGCCAGGAGGGGTCGAGGTGGCAGATTTAGTGTCCGACGCGCAGTGGGCTTGAAGGGAGAGGCTGCAGGCTGGACTAAATTAATCTTTTAATCAAATATCATGATCCTGACGATGCTCAGAGGATCTAAAGGCGCTCATTTAAAACGAAACTCCGCATGGGTTGCGTGGATTTATTGTCCACAGCAAGGCTCGTTCTCTCTGAAACAGGAAGAAAAACAAACCAGTGAGCAGCAGGGATTATTAGAAGGAGAAGAAGAAAAAAAAAAAAAACAAGACAGCTGTTTGGTGTTCTTGTCTTGCCTTGGTCTTCATGTTGCGCGTTTGGTTGTTGCAGAGAAACCAGGATTCGCCATGTGTGTAGGCTGCGGGAGTCAGATCCACGACCAGTACATCCTGAGAGTTTCCCCCGACCTGGAGTGGCACGCAGCCTGCCTGAAGTGCGCGGAGTGCAGCCAGTATCTGGACGAGACGTGCACTTGTTTCGTCCGGGACGGAAAAACCTACTGCAAGAGAGATTATGTAAGGTGAGGAGTTTGGTGCCATTTCCTCCTCAGAATAGATAAAAAAAAAAATTAAAAAAAAAAGATTGCAATACTCTCATATTTAGAGAAACAAACAATTCATTTATTATAAAGTCTTAAAAAAAATGTCCCATTATTATAATTTCCCAGAGACTGAACTTATTCAGTTTGCGTCTGGTGCGTCTCCTTGCAGGCTGTTTGGCATCAAATGCGCCAAATGCAACCTGGTGTTCAGCAGCAGCGACTTCGTGATGAGAGCTCGGAATAATGTGTACCACATCGAGTGCTTCCGGTGCTCGGTGTGCAGCCGGCAGCTGCTGCAGGGCGACGAGTTCTCCCTGCGGGAAGAGGAGCTGCTGTGCCGGGCAGACCACTGCCTGCTGCTGGAGAGGAGCTCCGCGGGGAGCCCCGGGAGCCCCGGACACGTGCACCCCAACAGAGCGCTGCACCTGGCAGGTCCGTTCATTCATCATCATCATCATCATCATAGTAATAATAATAATAATAATAATAATAATAGTATTGCATTGTTATATTATTATTAACGGATTATGAGTAAGTCATTTCAAAATAATAAAAATCGAAATCTGATTGTGACTTGAATTTAGAAAAACAAAGACAATATATTTTATGTTTGTTCAGTCTTTAAGAGAATGTGTGTGTGTGTGTGTGTCCTTTCTTTCATAATTGAGCTCATTAGTTGTAACCTGCTTTGCTACTATTATCTTAATAATCTGGGATCTGAGTCGCGCCTGTAGCGATGCATGCGTGTGCGTGTGTGCGCGAGCGTGTGTGTCGTCCTGTCAGAATAAGGAAAAGTGTGACTCAAACTGACCTCACCTCATGCAGATCTCTGATCCCAGCTGAGATTTTCAGTTTGAAGCGCAGAACTGTGATTTTTAGAATTGTTTAATTTATTTTATCGAATCCAGACTGACCCTTAAAGCTTTTAAGGGAAATAGTTGTTAAAAATATCAAGAGTTGAAAGTTCGTTTTTATTTTCATTCTAAGATTAATTTGATCCAGTTTTCTCCTGGAAATCCAAACTGCTCATTTCATCCCTTTAATGTCTCGTTTTAGAACATCTGTCTGATCGAAAACATTTTACAGATGTTCCAAATTCAAAATAGAAATAAGCCCATCATGGGCTGCAGATTATTAATCTGAGGGGGTTTCAGGCCTTCAGGTGGAGGCTTTGATGGTTTCTGACGGTGCCCCCCCCTGTCCTCTGCAGACCCCGTGACGGTGCGGCAGGCCCCGCACCGGAACCACGTGCACAAACAGTCGGAGAAGACGACGCGGGTCCGGACGGTGCTGAACGAGAAGCAGCTGCACACCCTGCGGACCTGCTACAACGCCAACCCGAGGCCGGACGCGCTCATGAAGGAGCAGCTGGTGGAGATGACGGGCCTGAGCCCCCGCGTGATCCGGGTCTGGTTCCAGAACAAGCGCTGCAAGGACAAGAAGAAGTCCATCCTGATGAAGCAGCTCCAGCAGCAGCAGCACAGTGATAAGACTGTAAGCATCTTCGTAAGTTGGGCCGCTTCATTCCTCTCTGCAAACACTCAGCGCAACAAACTGTAGCTTTGGTTTTTGCTTGAGCCGACAACTGGAAATATTCTAAATGTTTTTGATCTATTTGTAAGATCGCGAGGATAAAACTAGACACAGAGACACAGTTCTGTGACGACAAGTTCTCAGATTGTGCAATAAATAAATAAATAAATCAAAACAACAAAAGTTTCATTTATTTAAAACATTTCTGCAGAACCTCCAAGGACTCACGGGGACGCCTCTTGTGGCCGGAAGTCCCATCCGACATGAGAGCACGGTGCAGGGGAACCCCGTGGAGGTCCAGACCTACCAGCCCCCCTGGAAAGCTCTGAGTGAGTTCGCGCTGCAGAGCGACCTGGACCAGCCAGCTTTCCAACAACTGGTGTGTGTATTCATCCATCCATCCATCCGTGCATCCATCCATCCGTGCATCCATCCATCCGTGCATCCATCCATCCGTGCATCCATCCATCCATCCATCCATCCATCCATCCATCCATCCATCCATCCATCCATCCATCCATCCATCCATCCATCCATCCATCCATACACATACATATACATTCATCTAATGGTTTACGGTCTTCACAGCGCACACCATAACGCGTCACTGCTTTCAAAATAAAAGCACCCGCACGTGACGCTTTGTTTTCCCTCTCTCCAGGTGTCTTTCTCTGAATCGGGCTCTCTGGGGAACTCCTCGGGCAGCGACGTGACTTCCTTGTCCTCTCAGTTACCGGACACCCCGAACAGTATGGTCCCCAGCCCGGTGGAGACGTGAGAACCGTCATGGTGGTGGTGGTGCAGCCTCCCTCCATACCCCCCTCCATACACACACACACTTCCCTCCCATCTTCTTCCAACGTCACCCAGCTGCAGCTTTTTTTTTAATTTTTATTTTTCTGCAAGGACAGTTTGCAGCATGAGCCCCCTCCTCCTCTCTCCTTCAGCCTCCCTGCATGTATCAGCTCATCACTTCCAAGAGGAGAGACTTTTGTTTTTTTTAAACTTCATGGAGGAGGAGAAGGAACAAAACGATTTTATTTTATTTTTTTAACATTTTTGGTGAGAGCAAGAACAAAACTGAGCAGAACAATTGATGCATGACTTCACGAGGAGAACAGCGATGTACAGAAGACCTCCAGTCCAGATGGATTTACTGCAAGCCTCTCCTCAGACCCCCCCCCCCCCCCCCCACTGGAAACACGTTTCCACGTTGCTCCACGTGGACTCTGCCATTCTCAGTGTGTTCATGTCGTGTCTCGTTTCTTCTACTTGACCATTTTTGATACGTTACTCCGAGTCCTTTTGTCTTCTAAGGTCAGAGCATGATGAAGTGTTGGTGTTGTTAAAGATCTGCTGAGGGCACGAGCAGGTCGGAGCTTCTCGAACAAAAACTAAATTATTGTTAAATATTATTTATTGTTATAGGAAAACGATACGTTCAAAGAGAGTATTACCTGATAAAATAAAAAAAGATGAATACACGACGTGTCTTTATGACCTGTTTTTGAAGGGAAAAAAAAATCCACCCCCAAAATGTTTTGTTAAAAAAAAACAACAACAACAATAACAACATGCTTTTATTTTTTTAGGAGGAAAAAAATTGCTCAAAATCTAAACAGATTACTAATCTGTAATTTGAGAAGCAGAGACAAATCAGGGCCGTGTGTGTGTGAGTGTGTGTGTGTGTGTGTGTGTGTGTGTGTGAGGTTTGAAGCGCGCAGAACATGTGGTTCGGCCGGTTCGGTCCAACAGCCCCGCAGGCTTGTTCTTATCAGCTCGCTGCATCTCGCGGTGTTTTGTGGCTGGACTCTGCCGGCGGTCATCTACTGTCTCCCGGGCAACAAAAAAAAAAAAAAAAAAGAAAGAAAAAATAAAAATAAAAAAAAGAAAGAAAATAGAAATCCGCTGTAAATTTTCTTCAGTCCTGCTCCTCCTGTTGAGTCACAGTCCGAGTCTAGACAGCGCGCGCGGATCCGAGACCTCTTATCTGGTCCTGGCATCACCTGCAGGGGATCCACTGACCGAAGCCACAACAAACTACAC